GTTTATTGTTATTCATCAATAAAAATCAAAGGTATGTTTTCTAACCCTAGATGGTAATTTCAAAAATAGTATAGGATTCCTAAGGTTTCCCAGTTGATGTTCAAATGTTGTATGTTCAATTAGAGAAAACATAGATCGGGAAATTAGGGTTGCATGCACACATAGGTTTTTGTTTGTTATGCTCAAAACCCATCAATGTTGCCTTTCTCTATTTCGACCATGTATGATTAAGTGTGAGTTATCTAATTAGTAACTGTAATTTGTTGAGTTTCATGTCCTATATGTTCTTATAATTTCTTCCCAATTTTGAATGTGTGATAACTGTCAATTTTAGATCGAATAAAGTCAACAAGTCAACCAAGTCAACTCGAGTAGTATTAAGAATTTAGGATAAGTACTATGTTACTAATGTTCCAAATTTACTACTTACAAATATTAATACAAAGTACGTCAGTTTTCATCAATTATTGAATAAAAATCCTATTTAGGATTAACAACGTGAAGTTCGATAATACAAGTAAATAATATTTTGGAATAAATAATATTCATAACACAATGTACTAATTACTTTGATGATATTGAGGTTTTTTTGATAATTTGAATTTTTATGATTCAAATTAAGTAACTATACATTATTATACCACACATTTTATAAAATATCATTTTTTTTATAAAGATTGCCACATTTTTATAAACTACCAAGAATTTTATAAAAATAATGAAGGGTTGACTTAGATGACATGATGGGTTCATCTTTTCCCACAAAATCTATTACACAACATATATCTAAGCTAATAACCAACAAATAACCGTGCACTCCACCCCACCCCCTCACCCTCCCGCCTCCCCCTTTTATCTTCGGCCGAGAAGGCCCCCCTCCCACCTCATCATCTTCATCTTCATCTCTTTCTTCATCTTCTTCATTTCACCTCTCAATAAGAAGCTCCAAACTTTCAAGGATAAATCTTCATAAGTTGGTTCTTAGGTTTCTGGATAATACCATCTTCAAGTGTTCTTCAACGACCTTCAAGTGTTCTAAACTTGAGGATCTTCATATTCGTCTCTTTATCCAACCGCAAACACACTCAATGTGAGTTCATACCCCATATTTTCGAGATTTTTATGTTTTAGGGGGGTGGGGGGAATACAAGAAACATTGTATAAAAATACAAGTTGTTTTGCATACTTCATCTCTATGTTGTATATAAAGTACTATTTTGCATGAAATATGGATAATACTAGTTACTAGAACATTTATATGTGATTTGTTAGTTTAAGATACAAACTAAGAAAACAAATAAAATCATGTTATATGTTCTTAAGGAAAAGATATAACCATAAAGCTATAAAGACTGATTTTTATGTACAAAATATGGCTTTTCTAGCAAAAATGGTTATAACCTAGTTATTACACCATTTTTGTGGGATATAATGCAATATATGTTGTTTGGGACATGATTTGAAACTAGTAAAATATATCAAAGATTTAGTTTTACAAAAAGAAAATTAAAAAAATGTATCATTTTATGTAAAAGTGGGTTTTCTAACAAAAATGGTCATAACTAGTTTATGGCACCATTTTTGTGGGTTTTGACCAAAAATATGTTGTTTTAAACATACAAAGATAACTTGACCTAAATACCCCAAAAAGGTAAAAATAAGTTTTACCGAGTTATATTTCACTGTTTACCGGTAAATGTCGTTAAAAAAAGGGGCCAAAAACTAGAAGACCGGTTTTATCGTACTAAATGTTCTTATGCTTGTGTTAGATGTAAATTATATGATTTAATCTTTTAAAACATCTAGACATATTAACTTTTATATATATATATATATATATATATATATATATATATATATATATATATATATATATGGACGTAACAAAACATTTATAATAAACTATAATTGGTATAGTTTATGTGTCATTAACACTACTTTATCAGTTTCAACGAAAACGCTAATACAATTTTGTGATTACTATGGAAACCGCTAATAGTGTAATTATTTTACACTATGTAATTACTATGGAAAGGTAATATTCCCACTTACAAAAAGGGTTTTCATTACACTATACGTAAACCGCTAATATAATTTTGTGAGTCATACTCTTCACGTACCTACCAGAGTACCTACAAGTCCTCAGTTTGAGTCCAGACATACCCAAGAGTATGTCGGAATCCCTCAAACCAAGGCTCTGATACCAACTTGTAACATCCCAAAAATCATGACCAAAAACTTCATTTTTATTTATTAAATAAACCATGGTTATCAAAATCATTATATCCAAAAACATGAGTCATAGTATCAAATCAGAGTATCATATCAAAAGACATGTCAACATATCAGAGTAAAACATCCCATGCTAAACATAATGGTGTGTGCACTGCAGTCATCCCGAGCTCTTCCCTTTACTACCGGAAGTACCTGAAACCAAAACGGAAAATTGTACGCACGAAGCTTAGTGAGTCTCCCCAAACTACCACATACCTTACACATAATCATATAATCACATAATAACATAACATGGGCCTTTCCCGCTTTATCGGGCCCCGCCCGGCATCAGACAATGACGTGCATCGGGCCTCGCCCGACATCAGACCGAAATCCGGCATCAGGCCCTGCCCGGCATCGAGCAAAGCTCGGTATACGTACAAGCATATCAACAAATAAACATAATTAATCACATAACGTAAACATATAAATATTCTTCGGGCCCCGCCCGGCATCGGACCGAAATCCGGAAACATATAAATATTCCTTGGGCATTGCCCAACATCGGACGGGAGTCCGGTAACATACCAAACAGACACATGCAAGAATCACGAAGACATAAAGCATACAAACATTCCTCGGGAACTGCCCGGCATCGGATCGGAATCCAGAACATATAAACCTACATCGGGCACTGCCCGGCATCGGACCTTGGTTCGGAACATACTAGCTTACATATACAGGTCGGCATTGGTCCCTTCGACCCGTTCATATAGGAGGAAACTCACCTCACTGTCGGATGATAGCTGAAACGTCTCTACCCAGAATCAGCTCTACTCACTCCCTGAACCAAAAAAAACCCCTTAGATACCATTCCTTACTCATAACCCTTAAGGGTTTACTCTGGTCAAGTCAAAGTCAAGTCAAAGTCAACGTCAAGTCAACTGCTCCGAGTTGACTGAACTCGTCGAGTTTACCCTTCAACTCGTCGAGTTCCCATGAATCACAGAAACGTGAAATCGCTATCTAACTCGTTGAGTTTTCCTCCAACTCGCCGAGTTTCTCCTTCTCAACAGAAACGAGACTTTCCCGGTACAACTCGTCGAGCTCCCTTGTGCACTCGCCGAGTTCCTTCAATAGAATCGAGAATGTTCGACCAAACTTCTCGAGTTCCTCTATGAACTCGCCGAGTTCCTCGTATTTCTAGTCTATTCAGCCCTTTCCTCATATCTAAGGTTCCAGAATATAGATCTACATTGTTTCCATATGAGGAAAACTGTTGTGATTGTTGTAAAGTAGAAGTTTGAAATGCAAGATACACAATCAATTACCATACTTATCACTTTTCATAAACACATACTAAACAAAAACATAACAAATATGACTACTAGAGCACATTACATTCAAATTTGGGAAGAAATTATAAGCCCATATAGGACATGAAACTCAACAAATTAAAGTTACTAATTAGATAGCTCACATTTAATCATACCTATTTGAAGTAGAGAAAGGCAGCATATGCTACGACAAGTATCGCAAATATGTATGTGACAATTGGCTTCAAAACACTTATCTGAGCGACAATATGGTGAGTGTCGACATCTTGGAGAGGAAGAAACTTATCATAGTCATATACATATCTATATCATTCGAAATTATAGAAAGCTCTACCATTTTAGAATAAAATTTGGATCTCATGAAACCGATATTGTCTTCCCCTATAACATCTTAATCATGATCAACATCTACATGACATTGTATGTTGATATAACCAAACCCTTACAAACCCTAATTCGGTAAAATTTTCCCAAGGTCTCAAACTAGCTGTTTGGCACTGTCGGATTCGAGAAATGGGATTGGATTTAAGAAAAACAAATTGAAAAAATTATTTACCATATATATAGTTTTAAGACAACTGCAAAAATGGTTTATATGATATGCATTTTTCGGGTTTTAGTTCAACCTCAACTTTTTTGGATTGGTGGTGTTTTGGATCTAGTTTGCTTGTGGTTTTGGTCCCTCAAAAAAATGAAAAGCTTAAATGCCCTTTTATTTTTATTTTTATATTTTCAATACTTATTTTATATTTTATTAATTAAAAAAACAAGAAAGGAAAACGATATCAGTTTCACGAGCTTCAATTTTGGTTCTAAAATGTTGGACCCTTCTTTAATTTCGAATACGAGATATACATATGTACATGACTATGACAAGTTTATTCCTCTCCAATTTGTAGACACCAACCATATTGTCGCTGATAAGCCCCAACTTTACTGGTTTATAGCATAGGGGTATTTCTGTCTTTTATCTATTTATTTTCCTATTGGCTGTTTTGTTAGTGGGAACAACACCTGATTATGTTGGCTGTTATTCCCTTTTGTCTTGTCTCTAGTCTCTAGTGATAGTATATATAGTCCTTTTGTTTTAGATAATCGGTAGCTAAGAATTATATTGTTAAGAACTTTGTTCTTCTTGGAGAGTACATTCCTCTAGAATGAATAGGAAAACCCTAATCATCTTATCAGTTCATAGTTTGATTATCAATGGAATCTGTGTCTTATTCAAGAAAGAATCAGGGCCTATCAACTGGTATCAGAGCAGTCGGTACTGGAGAAAGAACGAAAACCAGAAACAGAGTTGGCAAGGTGATGGGAGAAATCCTTTAAGGTCAAGCTGAGATTCTTAAGATGATGAACCAGCTCTTGGAGAAATTTGAACTTGCCATTGGAAGTAGAAAAGCTGAAGTTAGAATATCAGAAGAATAAGAAGAGACTAGATACTCGTCAATGGAGATGCATCATCAGAACAAGATAAAGAGATATGAAGAGAGAGAGAGAGAAAGAGAGAGAGAGAGAGAGAGAGATGCTGAGATAGCTAAATGGAGAGAGTATTACTGCTCAGAGGAAGGAATGGAGGCTGAGAAGCCTAAGTGGAGGAAGATTTATTACTCTACTTTGAAAGAGAAAGAGGTCCATGAGGAGGAAGAAGAAGTATCATCAGAACTTTCGGAGTCGGAATCGGAATCCGAGTCAACATTACACCGCAGCTTTCACCACCACAACTGCTACAACAGCCGTCTCAAACTTACTCATGCCCTCCCCCACTATTGCGGGCTTTGTCGTCGTATCCACCGCCTTCACCGCTACTGTATCCACCATCTCTAGGGTTTAAGAAAAGAAACGAGGCTACAAGTCGGATCATGGCAAGCCCAATCAGAGTGGTAGGAAGTTCAAGATACCCATGTTCGACGGTAACACCGAGAGCTAGATAATGGAGGTTGACGAGTATTTTTCGTTTCACAAATCGCTTGAAGATGACAAGTTAGAAGAAGCAGTTGGGTCCCTTGAAGGTGAAGCGCTATGTTGGTATGAATGTGAGTATCGTAGGCAACGTATACCAGGCTGGGAATAGCCGAAGGGCTTGATTCATCGACAATATGTGTCGTCAATGGTGGGAACATTATAAAAGAAGCAGTTGGGGTTTATTCGTATCAGAATGATGACGGAGCAGACGCCACCGTTAGAAGATTTAACAGCAAAGTTTTATCTAGGTCAAATCAGAATTGGGTTTAAAAATTTTACTTTGGCCACAATTAGAGAGTTCGGCCCATCTAAAATAGATCAGACCATGGACTCGTGTAGTTCGATGGGTAACCCTTTTAAAATAAGTCCAAATGTTATTGAGTCAGCTACGACTCTGAAGGTCAAAGAAAAATAAAAAACACGTGCAATGGAATCATCAACCTCAACCTGCACTATCGCCTCACTTCTACTGATCAACATGCCATTCATGACCTCTATCTCTAGCTTGGCAACCATCGTTTTGGCATCGATAGCATCGATTTCTTCCAAGCGTCTTCTGCAAACCCAAGGGTTTAATGAATAGAATGTGTCTTTCAAAACATCAACCTAACCTCGACACCCATCTTTCTACCAGTCCAACGTGGGGGCTGAACCAGAACAATGGGAGAATTCCAGAAAAATCATTAGAATGGAAAAGATGTCAAAAGTTGATAAGAAGAGTGCTTTCGATTAGAAGCTCTTGATGCTTGACAATTGCAAGCATGCCCTGATCTTTACGGTAAATGATGTCGCTTCAAATCAGCTTCAAAACATTAGTCGTGGTTTTCAAATAAATTTGATTATCCTTACAGGGGATTCGGAGAAAAACAGTAAGGAAGTTGGCATGTACAAGATTGAAACCCTTGTTCAGGTTAGGCTAGTGGCTCCGATGGATATGGGTGTTCCAACTGATAACACTGGTCTTGAGGCCTCAGATACTTCTTTCTTCCAGGTTTTTCATATTCCAACTAAAATTAACAAAGATACCATTGAAATCATAAACCTTATTAAGCTCACTAAGAACGCGGAAATTGGTTTGGTCCTGGAGAAGTTTAAGGATAGCATGATCATTTTGTTTTTGGATATGCAATTAAAGGTTGATGGGGTTGGTCTTTTGAGGAAGGAAGTGGAGATGCAGGAAGAAGCTCTCAATAATTCTTCTAAAACTAACTATAATCTTGAGGGGGCAACACGCAAGCATCAACATGAACTGGAGAGAACCATTGCAAAGTTGAGGTTAGTAAAAGAAGAGAACGAGAGACTTGCAGTCAGATTCAAAGCCCAAATACAAAACACTCACGATGCAGAGATGGGTGAGAGTGGGCAAATACTTAGTGTATCTATTGCTAGCTCGGGAATTTGGAAACACGGGATTGTGCTTATCTCTCCGCTTCTAGACCATGGTAATTATTTAATTAAAGAACTTTCTCTATGAATTTCGTATCTGCACTAAATGAATCCAAAGGCCAATGGGTTGGTCAAGATGGTGGCACCATGGAGCATGATAGTGATGCTTGGAAACAGGTACTCACGGAATTATTCTAGGCTCTTATTTTGAATGGATCTAGAGGAAAGGCGAGTCTCAAGGTTGATGGTGATGTTGAAACTGGGTTTGTTGTCTTTAGGGTTGCTGCAATGGATACTGAGGAGTATGGACTGGGGTCTGTTAAAATTGGATGTGTCATGGGTTATAAATGCCATACAAATAACTGCCATGCTAGCATGGCCAATCATCAAGGAGGAAGCGTTCATTTTCCTAGTATGCCCAGTCATCTGGTGAACTACTTTTCACATGATGATGAGATGGTGAGTAGTACATGGGAACAATTGGGATACACAAAGAAGGTTTCAATGAGTACGAGGTGTCACACTTGGTTCCTTGAAAAGTTAAGGAAGAAGGAGCATGAGGTGTTAGGTTTTATGTACTATAACACTCCTATGGTGCACATACAACCCTAATTCTTTGGATCTAAGTTTTCTCTAGTTATACATGCAAAAAATTATCCAAAGCATGAAACCTACAACTAGCATACAATTTGATATTTGAAACAGAAAATCAAGTTAGATGAATACCTCTATATTGTAGCTTGTAGAATTTGGCCTTTCAAGAGCTTAGCACCTCAAGTGTGATGCCTCAAATGGTTCATAAAACACCAAGAGCAAGAGGAAGACAAATGAGAGAGATGCTATTAACCACCAAAAACGGCTAGCATCTTCCTGGAATGCACAAGTGCCAATTTTAGGGTTTTAAGGGTTACACTTATAGTGTATAATTCCAAGAGTTTCAACTTGTAAACCCTAATCCACTTCCTTGGGCCTTTAATCCAATAATCAATATGATAAGCCCTTTGGACTAACTCTTCATGGACTCCACAAAGTTTTAGTCCACATAATCAACATGGATCGTTAGCCCAAACTATAAGTATCACTGATTTACTTAATCAGTCCCCGTTAATTTAATTAGTCTCTTTTGATCACTAACCTAATTCCAAATTAATTCTTGATCAATACTAATTAAATAATATGATTTCTCAACTAATATATTATACTTATAATATATTAATAAATCACAAATAACCTCTTTTTCAAATATCCATCCTATCAAATTTGCTTTGGTGAATGCAACCCAAAATGGACCATGCTACTCTCGGGTCAAGTACATTCCAATTATAGTTATGGGCTTAGACACCTAATCCAACAGTCTCCCACTTGGATAAGTCTAATAACTATAACTGCAAGTACGACTTGAAAAACTGTCTAGCAATCGTAGCTCTCCAAAGACGTTGTCAAACTCTGACGCGTCTATTAGATAAGAGATCATATATTCCTCCGTTCTCGATATCGTATGAACTGAGAGATGAATTATAATCATTCTCTCTAATCATGTGTTGTTTCCCGATTTCTGATTTATGACGACCGACTAATTGAAAAAATCAAATCAGTCCAGGCTTGGCCAAGCGCTTAGGGTTGTCATCACTAAATCATCGAGGGGCCTACATATATTGCTTTTATCCCTCTTAGGGTAAAATGAACGGATAAACTTCGTCTCATATGCTTGATCTATTTACGCATCAAATAACACACAATAATATGTTTTCTAACACCAAGTTACTGGTGCGTTTACATATTATCAATGTGTAACCGACTTGTAAACTGCAACTATATGTCTCCGCTTCAAGAATATAAGATATTATCGTCTCACAATCACTCGTGATGAAATCCATGAAGTGATTCAGATGAGCGTGGGTTTACTCCAATACTCAAATCTTATTACAGGAGTACTCATGAATACTGTAGCAAACTTGTGCTATGTCTAAACACTCTAGACAATCTACAGACGGATTCATGACAGTCATACCTCAATACCTACTTCCAAAGTATGATCGACTGTGGATAGTTTGAATAATCTTATTATTCGGGAAGTCAGAGCATGCAAATTGAAACACCAGAATAATCGAATTCAATATGGTCTCGAAACTCTTGAATATAAATAAAACACCTTTTATTTACTCACCATCACTACTAGAAAAAGACCATTTTACGACGCGCAATCCACGACACTCAGTGATTTATGTTACGCAAAAGAGAGTGACCTTAAAATGGTGTCCTCTATTCAAAAAATTTAAGCATTTAGGTGAAGCATTATTGTATGCCATTATATTAGTGTCTTAAAGAAAAAAATCAAAAACACAGAGGGCGCTTTATATTAATCGTGCGTCCTCTATAATTGTCGCCTATTAATTTTAATGAGACGCGCGCTTGTTTCAAAAATTGAGGTACGTATCTGCTAAAATATATAGGGATTTTCAAACAAAGATCAAAACACTCACTGATCATCACTCAATACACTCTCTACAATCGATCGTCGACTCGCCTTGCAGACAACGTCCCCTCCGACGACGTTAGGCTACTTCTCTTCCGGCTGACTTCGCCTCTAGTTATACATGCAAAAAAAGGTGAATACCTCTACAGGCTAGTTTTCTCTAGTTATACATGCAAAAAAATTATCCAAAGCATGAAACCTACAACTAGCATACAATTTGATATTTGAAACAGAAAATCAAGTTAGATGAATACCTCTATATTGTAGCTTGTAGAATTTGGCCTTTCAAGAGCTTAGCACCTCAAGTGTGATGCCTCAAATGGTTCACAAAACACCAAGAGAAAGAGGAGGACAAATGAGAGAGAGGCTATTAACCACCAAAAACGGCTAGCATCTTCTTGGAATGCACAAGTGCCAATTTTAGGGTTTTAAGGGTTACACTTATAGTGTATAATTCCAAGAGTTTCAACTTGTAAAACTAATCCACTTCCTTGGGCCTTTAATCCAATAATCAATATGATAATCCCTTTGGACTAACTCTTCATGGACTCCACACAGATTTAGTCCACATAATCAACATGGATCGTTAGCCCAAACTATAAGTATCACTGATTTACTTAATCAGTCCCCGTTAATTTAATTAGTCTCTTTTGATCACTAACCTAATTCCAAATTAATTCTTGATCAATACTAATTAAATAATATGATTTCTTAACTAATATATTATACTTATAATATATTAATAAATCACAAATAACCTCTTTCTCAAATATCCATCCTATCAAATTGCTTCGGTGAATGCAACCCAAAATGGACCATGCTACTCTCGGGTCAAGTACATTCCAATTATAGTTATGGGCTTAGACACCTAATCCAACAGTCTCCCACTTGGATAAGTCTAATAACTATAACTACAAGTACGACTTGAAAAACTGACTAGCAATCGTAGCTCTCAAAATCCGTTGTCAAACTCTGACGCGTCCATTAGATAAGAGATCAT